GAGGCCCCCGTCCTCTGTCCTGTGCTACCCCAGGCCCCCGTCCTCTGCTCCTGTGCTCCCCGAGGCCCCCGTCCTCTGCTCCTGTGCTCCCCGAGGCCCCCGTCCTCTGCTCTTGTGCTACCGGGGGCCCCTGTCCTCTGCTCTTGTGCTCCTGGAGGCCCCTGTCCTCTGCTCCTGTGCTCCTGGAGGCTCCCATGTGCACACACACACACTAGGAACTGAGGCCAGGCTGCTCTGCAGCTGTCCTCTGGGCCTCTTCCACTCTAGCTCCCTCTGTCTATCTGCTTCCAGGCCGGCTTCCCTGCAGGGGTGGGGTCCCAGGCAGCCTATACTCCCTGATTTTCTGATGCAGGGACATTCTCCCGAGGCCCATCTGACTCCAGGTGGGGCCACAGGATCCTGTGCTGGCAGGTGGGCACATGACCTCAGTTCCCCTCTGTACAGCGCAGGACTGAGACGGCCGACTCCCAAGGTTCTCCAGCCCTGCTGGCTTCCTGATGAAGTGGACCCCTCAGGTCTCTGCAGCCCATCCTCACCTGGTCCCCACCTTCAGGGCCCCTGCTGCTGCCCTGGCCCCTCTCCCATCCTGGGAAGTCCCAGCTGCTGCTATCAGGCCCAGGGTTCCAGAGGCCTCTTGGCAGCTGTGTGAAGTCAGCTCAGGGTGCGCACCCCTCTGCACGGCCACCAGCTGGGTGGTCTTGGCACTGCCTGTCTGGTGCAGGGTGGAGGAGCTGTGCGGCTCTGCAGGCTCCCATCTGCATTTCCTGGAGCAAAGCCTGTGGTCTGAGTCCAGCACAAGAATGTCTCCGTGCTAAGGACCCAGAGAAGTGGCAGGTTGAAGAGGCAGACAACAGTGGCCTCAAAGTGGACATCAACAGGTAGAAAGAGAAACAGTCCTGGGGGCCAAAGAGCAGCCACGATTCAAACATAACCCTTCTAAAAGCAGCAGACAATATAAGTCCCACAAATCTAAACAAGCTGACTGTAAAGATCACGAGAGGAGTAAAAATAGCCTGGACCACCCTGGAACAGAGACCTGGGGAGCCCCCTCGCCAGCCACTCCCTGACCACACCAGGCGGCTCCAGGACAAGCGGGCAGGGCAGGAGCTGACCTCCGTGCCCAGGAACTGAGTTCAAGGCAGGTGGCCTGTGCCCCCCACAGGAGGAGGCTGCTTCCGACACTGACCCCTGCCACCAAGCCAGGCCAGGGGACTGCGGACCCTTCATAACTGGGGAGTGACCGGAATTGCCTACCTGAGATTTTAAATCTAGGAGCAATAAATACAAAACACAAACTGGAAAAAACGTCAGCCGCAGAAGGCACACGGCCCTCGGGGCCCAGGGCAGGCACATGAGGCTGCTGGTGTGGGCTCCCTTCTGGGGTGAGGATCCTTGGAAGGAGAGTGGAGGCACAGCATTACGATAGCATTGAATGCCACTTTAAGATGTCAGAATGTGGGGCTGTGGCTGTGGCTCAGGGTGGAGCACTCACCTAGCACCCATGAGGCACGAGGTTTGATCCTCAGCAACACATAAAAATAAAAAATAAAGATACTGTGTCCACCTAAAACTAAAAAAAGAAAGATGCCAGAATGTTGGTTCCATGTAATGTGTATGTTATCTCAATCTAAAAAGGTGACTTAAGAGAAAGACATTAGCGTCATTATTCTAATTCAAGAGTTCATGAGCTCTGAAAGTCAAGAAAATGTAAGAGAAATGCAGACCAAAACTAGCCCCAGGACTTCATTTCCCACCCATTAGCTCGGTCCAGATCCAAGCTGGACAGCAGTCTCTGTGGTCCAGGGGTGGGCAGCTGTGGTGCCAAGGCTAGCTCTGTGGAGGAAGGGCCACCTCTGAGCTGGCCAGGCAAGCCTGTAGTGAAGTCTGCCTTGATCAGACTGCAAGAAGCCAGGGAAACGCTCTGGCCTGGGGACTGCGGGATGGGCAGGTCCCGCTGCCTAGTGCAGCTAGCAACCTAGGAGCACCTGGCAGTTCCCGCATGTGGACATGCATACAGCTGCCCGGACAGCACTGACCCCAAGCAAGAGACCCTTTTCTAAACTGACTAGCTGTGTTGGTGACTTAAGCACAAAGAGAAATTAATTATTCCAATTGTATCATATTTTAATTTTATGCCTTCAATGGGAAAAGTATAGAGTAGCTCCCCCAAATATCAAACTTCAACAGCAGTCCTATTGTAACTATTATGATTTTGAATTAATTATATTATCCTGTAGGATAAAGCAAATAGTGCTGTGATAAACCACTGTTTTCAGCTTAAGAGAAATGAGGTAAAGTCCAAGTATATAAGTAAAAAGTCACGATAATCTTAAAATGTGAATTGGAGACATTAATATGAACCCATGATTTTTTTTCCTTTTTCTTTTCGTCGTTCTTTTTTTTTTTTTTTTTCCATACTGGAGAGTGAACCCAGGGGGGCTCTTCACCACTGAGCTACACCCCCAGCCCTTTTAATTTTTTTATTTTGAGATGGGGTCTAAGTGACCCAGGCTGGCCTTAAACTTGCCTCAGCCTCCTGGGCTGCTGGTATTGCAGGCATGGGCCTCAGGCTGGTGGTCTGCCAGCAGAGCTGGGGAGGAGGGTCCTGAGCTCTGCAGGCTTGGGGAAAGCCAACGAGGAAGCTGTCCTCCAGGCTTGGGGGGGGGGCCAGGCTCTGTGGGGAGGGCTCCTGGGCCGGATGGCTTGTGATGTGGGCCCTGCACTGATCAAAGAGAATTGAACACCTGGGAAGGTCAGGCAGGGCCTCAGCAGGAGTGGAGCCTGTTGGACAGCCCTGGAGGGCCAGGCACCTGCTGGAACAGCACACCTGAGGGGGAGGGGGAGCACCCACACGGGGCACCCAGGGTGAATGGGAAGGACTTTGGGACTCCCAGGACAGCCAAGAGGGCTTACTGGCAGGAGGGAAGAGGGGCCACGCCAGGTGGAAGGGTGACAGCCCCAAAGGGTACCCTGTCCAGGCGGAGGGGCAATAGCTTCAGGTTCCTCCACGTGGGTCACTGTGCTAGCTCAAGTCCTCGCCACTGGCCATACCTGCCCCAGAGCTGGACACAGGCCTGGGCTCTCCCTGAGCTGAGATGTGGGCCACCCAACCTGGTAATGCCTCTTGTCCCCATTCCCTGACACAGGGCTGCAGCTGCCTGAGCAGATGTCATCCCCTGCAGCCAGAGCCCCCTATGTCTGCTGCCCATCACTCCAGGGGAGGCCGTTGGTGTAGAGGGGTTTGGAAAAGGGCTCTTCCCTGGTGTTTAGGTGCATGCCAAGGCATGCAGACCTGGGCAGCCGCCATCATGTCTGGAATCCACTCACACCCAGCAGCAAGTGGGGGAGGTACAGATTACCCGGGGCTGGAGCTGGGTGGAGGGAGGGGTCACGGCAACAAAAGAAGCCTTATGGGTCAAACATATGAGTCCAACAGACACGTGGCTGGCAGTCCCCGCAGGCCTGGCTCCCAGGGCACCTGACTTGGGGGAAGAGGCCTAGACTCTTGATCCTGAAGGTGATGGGAATGACCTCGACTCTTTCTCTTTTTGGAGGCAGGGGATGGGCTCAGGTGGTCCTCCTGCTGCAGCCTCAGAGGCTGGGACCCTCCCCTTCACCTTATCTACAACGCTGAGGGCTGCTCTGCTGAAGACTGTGGGCACTTCAGATGGTGTTAAATAAAACCTGCAGGAAGACAGAGAGAAATGTGTCTATTCTGTAGATTTTCTTTTGCAGGGCAGGTGAGGGAACCCAGGGCGAGCTCCACCGTGGAGCTCCATCGCAGCCCAAGAGAAAGTATTTAGGGAAAAGACTTTGTAAGAAACTGCCAGCAGCAGATAGAAACGGGTGCCGTCTACACAGGAGGTGGCATTCACAGTCCTCAGCCATAAAAATAAAGGCCTTTTATTTGGTTTCTCGACACCACTCCAGGAACATGTGGACAGCGCAGCCCCGACAGCCTGCAGCCACGCAGGGCCTGGGCTCTGGAGTGCTGGCTACAGTGTCACCTTCTTGTAGGTGACATGAAGATGCTGGGTCAGTGGCTGTGTCGTGGTTGCCATGGACACTGTCTGTTCAAGTTTGCCTTCAGAATTCAGCCTGAATTTTCGGGTAATCTGAGTAGAGAACAAAACAAGATGCCTGAGTTTTATTTACAAAAGATCCGCTCACCCAGGCCTCAAACCAGCGGGTGATGCTGGGCCCTGAGCCCCACAGGGCACCAAGGTCCTGGTTCCCCACCCCAGGCCTGCGCCCACAGGTGACAGTGGAGCTGGTCACCTCAGGTTGAGATGTTGTGTTCTCGGTCTCCACTCAGCACCTAACGTGCTTCCCTGTGTGACCTCCACCTTCACCTGCAGCCTGGACTCAAGGCCAACGTGTCCCTGGGAAACCCCAGCCAGCAGCTGTGCAGCCACTAGTCCATGAGTTCCCGATGAGGCTATTTCCACGAGAAAGGAGCTTGCAGTAATCAGGTGTCGGGTCAGAAGGTCCCTGCCCCGATGCTTGCTGACCCGGCAGGAAGCCGTCCGTGAAGACAGGCCCCAGCCGTGCTGCTCCTCTGTGCTTCACAACACTCTTGTAGGGTAGGGTTGGCTGGAGAAATCTACCTACACCTGCAGCCCCGTCTCAGAGTAAAGAGGGCTGGGGTAGGGCCTGGCGGCAGGGCACCCGCCTAGCGTGCCCCAGTGCCAATCCATCAGTCAGTCAACACGGGCACCAGAGAGGTACTAGGCACCCAGGACCAAGGCCCAGAGAGAAGAGATCTATAAAAAAGTCAGTGAAGTACATGATCTTACCAAGGTGATGTGATACAAGAATATTTTAAGAGTTCATTGTTATTTCTACATACTCGCAAAAAAAATTGGAAAATTAAAAAAAGTCATTTATAACAGCAGCCAAACCCACAAAATCCTTAGTGATAAATTCTACAAAAGATGTATGATACCAATACATTGCACAGGGTCGTGAAATCTGGGACAGGAGAGACCTAGACCTGTCAGAGTGCAGTGCCATGGACGTCCCTGGCCTCATGATGGGTCTCCAGACCATCTCCTCTCGCTGCAGGCCTCTGTGTCCACGGGTGACAGCCCCACAGGGCTGGAGGCTGCAGCTGCCCCTTCTGCTCTGCTGCTGGGGGCACATACCACACACCACAGCACGACCAGACTGACCACAGACTGCATTGAGGGCTCAGGTGCCCCCTTGCACATTCAGCTGGAAACTCCAGTGACCCGAACAAATGCTCCTTTAGAAACTAACAAGCTGGTTCTAACTGGGTCCCAGAAGAGTCAGATGAATTTTGGAAAAATGGAAATGCTGGACCATGAGTATTAGTTAATTTAATAGAAAGCACAGGGTCCACCCAGCGTGGTGTTAGGAGGAAGACAAGTGGAGTCCAGTGTCTACCCTGCACATGGACAGACTCACAAACCTCGAATAGAAGGCAGTCTGGAGCCGGGGGGCTGATGGGGGAACCTGGCCACCCCCAGGATAGACCTCAAGCCAAAGGAAAGGCCAAGAAGCCTCCTGAGGAGCGAGGGCTATCAATCTCTCCAGCTTTTCTTAAGTAAGGAAAACACTAACTACAAAACAAGGAACTGAAAACAGACTAAAATGTTCTCTTCTTTCAAAAGCACTATTTAAGAAGGGGACGGAAAGGCGCAGGAGTGCGGCACTGACCCAGAAGACCCCGAGAGCAGCAAGGTGCCGCTGGCCTGGCGCAGCAAGGGGCAGCAAGCACAGTGCCACCTTGACTCAAAATGCGGTATGACATGTGCAGGTGGACAGACAGAATGAGACCCTCATAGGAAATCAGAGAGGGCTGGGGCGGGGCTGGGTAGAAGAGTACCCAGGTTCCAACCCCAGCACCAAGACCATGGCCAGTCGGGTGCGGTGGCCACACCTGTGATCCCAGCAGCTCAAGAGGCTGAGGCGGGAGGATTGTAAATTTGAGGCCAGCCTCAGCAACTTAGCAAGGCCCTAAGCAACTTAGCAAGATCCTGTCTCTAAATAAAAAATAAAAAGGGCTGGTGTGTGTGTCAGCGGTTAAATACCCCCGAGTTCAATTCCCAGCACATACACACACACAAAAGTAAACTAAAAAGACCCAAAAGGTAGGCACCAGCAGCCCCACAGAACTTGTACACACCCCCCATCCCTTCGTCCCCAGCCTCCAGATGCACCCAGAGACAAGCTCCACACCAGCACTGCAGAGGAGCAGTGCAGCCCGCAGGCCACGCTCCCCAGGGACCCCACACTTTGTCTCCACTGGTCCCACTGGGGAAAGAGCAGACACACATGTGGGCACTGTCTGGGCACTTGCCAGCCTTCCAGCACGGGACCTGTCCTCCTGGGGACCTATGGATGTCTGAGGAACAGACTTCCTGTGAGGGCCTTGTTTTTCTGTCTGTCCAACAGCATGTAACATCCCGCTCACAAGAGTGGATCGTCTGTGACTGACGGCACAAGCACAGATTATCAAACAGCCAAAAGATGTATTCCACCAAGAAAATGGGGCAGACGACAAGGTCCAGTGATGGACAGAAGGTGGCAGGGCAGTGTGGGAGGGCAGGCATCTCCCACGGCACACAGGCCCGTCAACACAGCGGGGTCAGGGACTCCGAGGGAGGGTCTAGGTTCCACTGGGCGGCTTCCAGGAAGCAGAGCATGTTAGTAGAGAGACTGCTTCAGTAAGACACAAACACAGAATCTAGGAGGGAAAAGGCTGGCAACTTGAATCAGATAAAATTAAAAATTTGTCTCAAAAGCAAGTTTAAAACACAAAAGCGATCCCGTCTGAAGAGGTACTGGTGACTGACAGAGGCAGAGTCCCCCCAAGGAGAGCTCCTGCTGGACACTGGGAAGAGTGGCTCTGGGTCCTGGGTCCTCTGGATCCTGGGTCCTCTCTGAACCTCAGGGGGCAACGGGCAGCCCTGCTCTGGCCAGGCTGTGGCCAGGCCTGACAGGCTGCAGCACAAGGAGTCAGACAGCAGGACGGCACAAATGAGGGGGTGGCCAGACCTGGGGATCAGTGCCCACAGGTGGCCTCCAGAGGCTGGGCTTCTTGGGATCTGCAGAGGGCACCAGGAGGCACCACCCAACCTCTTGGACCTGGGTGACAGCTGGGAGCATGCAGTCCAGGAAGAGGAAGGCCCTACTCCTACCACCAACAGCACGACCCCGGCCTGCCATCAAGACAGACAGACCAACAGAAAGCTGCCCGCCCTGGACACACCTGGAGGACGTCAGGCTGAGTGAGAGAAGCCAGAACCAAGAACATGGCCCCATCTCTGGAAGCACTCAGAACTGGCCAGTCTGGAGCACTGATGAGCGTCTACCAAGGGCCAGGGAGGGTGGGGACCTGAGGGAGCCAGTTGGGGGCACAGGGTTTCTTTGGGATGTAAACATGCTGTAAAATCAACTGGTGATGTTTTCACAACTCTGGGTACACTAAGAATCACAGAATCGTCCTCTTTAAGGGACTGACTGCTGCGGTATGTGGAGAGCAGGGCATCAGTGCCTCAGAGCACCAGAGCACAGGGCCATCAGGAGGAGATGCCCAGCCCTGAACCCGGCAGCTGGGCTGGCTTCCAGCAGAAGGACAGAGTCTCCTTCTTAGGAGTCCATGCAGAGAACTCTTTCCTCCTGGCGTCTGCACTGACACACACACACACACACCGGGAGGTGCTGTGGGACCAGCCCCAACAGCCCTAGGTGTGCAGCCTGCACTGTTCCACCCTGGCCTCACTCTTATGGGCACTGGGGTGTGTTCTGTCGGAGAGCTGGTGCCTGTTTCCTCCAGACCTACCTGCCCCTGTCCCTTTCCTGCCTTCCCTGTGTCCCTTCTGTTGGGGGTGAGGGTGCCTTGGCTTCCAGTGCTACTCTGCTCAGTCCTACTCGTGAATCTGGCTGGGGTGGTCTTGGGACCCCCGCAACACATCATGCATCTGAAGAAACCTCAGAGAGGAAGTGCAGAATCAAAACAAAACAAAACATTATAAAGCAACTTGGGAGGAACAGAAGAATGGAGAAAGAAGAAAACTAACACCACAGCCAGCACCTCAGTGAGAAGCAAGGGTAGAGGCAGCGCCCGCAGCCCCAGCTAGTAGGGAGACGGAGGCAGGAGGAGCATCCCAGGCAAGAGTTCAAGACCAGCTGGGGCAGCACAGTGAGACCCCACCTCAAAAACAAATGTTCTCAGAGGGAGTTCGGAGAAGCTGCCGAGCCCACGGATGGAATCAGAGCAGCAGGTTTAAAAACGACACACGGGGACAGAAGGCAGTCTACCAGCAACACTCCAGCTGCAGCACCACAGCTGGGGACAAGGAAAGTTCCCTGAGAACAGAGCGAAAGGACCAGGACAGAGAAAGCAGAGAGTAACAGAGACCCCTCGGGAGGCGCTCCCACACTGCAACACCAGGCATGGCACTCTGACATGCAGAATCGGGCTTAGATAACTGGCAGACGGTGGGGCAGACTTGGGAAAAGCACATAACAGAGCAGACTCAAGTCCCTTCTGGCCGCAGCATAGGTGGCCCAGGAAACTAGGGGTGCTCGGGCATGAGGTCGAGGGAGCACAACCTTCCTGTCCACAGCCGTGTCTGTGAGGTTCACCAGCAGGACATTCACCAGGAGCAGACAGCACACGGTCAACACAGATGGCCCCTGGGCTTCAGGAAATACAGTGGGACGGTGGGGCCTGCTGAGCATGATTCCTACCACAGGACAAGGCGCAGAGCAGGACAGCTGGGAGTCCTGCAGCTACGAGGGAGGCTTCAGGATACAGCAGGGCTCTGGACCCAGCAGGGGACACATGTGCCAGTGGGCCCAGCAAGGTCACTTACCCGCTGCGCATTTGGCTGTGAAGGAATTCCAGGCTGGTGTGGTGGCACATGCCTGTCATCCCAGGGACAGGGACTGGGACCTGCTCTAACAGCCTGCCAGCCCCCACCAGCCCTCAGGCTAATTTGCATGTCGATGTGATCTTGATGCTTAAGAATAAGAAACTTATGGACAGAGGTGTGTGGGAACCTCCTGCAGACACGGACGGGGACAGGAGTCCTGAGCCCCTGCACAGGTGTCACTGGGAGAGGCTGCATGCCTCTCTGCTCAGTCCCCTTTGGTGTCAGGAAGGGGCACCAGAACTGCACCAGAGCACACCCGTCTGGGAGGTCAGGGGTCTGACTGTGCAGGAGTAGTGGGAGACAGGAGAACCTGGCAAGAACCAGGCCCTGACAAGGAAGGAACTCAGAGAGGGCTGCAGGGGAGCTTCCGCCACCAGCCAGCCAGCCGAGCAGAGCCCTAGGCAAAGCGGAGGCCACACACCAGCAGGGCTGCCGCGGCCCCACCTGGGGGAGAGCCCTCTCCCTCAAATGCTGGGTTCAAAAGTGAACACTGCTATCACACTCACAGGGACTGGGGACAGCAGCACACAGGAAGAGTGCCACGAGGAGGGGCAGGCCAACCTCCACCAAAACGCAGAGCACATGTGTCCTCTGACCCAGCAACACAAGGTGACCACGAGGGGCCAGCAGCCTGGACCACCAACCCCCTACACACCAGACAGGAAGGAGAGAGGAGGCACAGAAGGTCGCCTGGGGGAGGCAACCCAGCCCCCGCCACACCACAGACCGTGGGAAAGGCGGGCTCACCTGCTCCACGTGCGGCTCCTTGGCGAAGGAGATCCTGGCGATGGAGTGGGATGCGATGCACAGCTCCTGCCCGTTCACCTCACCCTCCTCCACCTCCACGACGCCTGCAGGGGGTGGAGCTCAGCTGCAGCCTCCCCCTTCCAGGAAGCTGGTCTCGGAACCCCCCCACCAAGAGGCTGGCCTCTGAACCCCCCCACCAGGAGGTTGGCCTCTGAGTCTTCCTCCCCTCACCAGGAGGCTGGCCTCTGAGCCTTCCAGTGCAAGGCCCCTCTGGCCTGCACATGGCCTTCCGGGTTTTGAATGTGTTACGGCACAGGACCAGTGCTTGGGGGGCTGGCTTCTACAGAGGTGTCCCGGACCCAGCCTTCCTACCAGAACACCCGGCTGGAGCACTGTGTGGTGGACACACCCCTGACTTCCTCAGTTGCCATTCCCACTAATGCCTGGGCAGCTCCGCTCCAGGCTGGGTGCTTCCTGAACACCCAAACTGAGCAGCTTTTGGGCAAGTAGGTAAGGTCAACAGCTATGTAAGCTAAATGAGGGTAATTTCTTTTTCTTTTTTGGTCCTGAAGATTGAATACCACAGCTTAAAACCTAAGTTGCTGAGGCTGGTCTTGAACTTCCGATCCTCCTGCCTCAGGCTCCCGAGTCATAGGGATTTCAGGCATGGGCCAGGACACGTGGCAGTCTTCTAAGTAATGGTGTGGCTGGTGAACTGCTTCAGAAGGAACTCATGCTGGGGCAAGCCTGCCTTCAGGAAAGGACCCTGCCACAAACCTGCCCGCTCTCGCGGAGCCTGGCTCCTCAGCTGGCGCCTTCAGGCGGCAGCCCACATGTACACCATGCCTCCACTGACCCCAAGCAAGGATGCTTGGGAGGGCATCTGCGAGCCCTGCCCGCCACACCACTGGGGGGGGGGGTGTGTGGGCAGTACCTGTGTTCTGGGCGCTGATGAAGGCCACCTTGTTGGTGTCGGGCTTGAGGCGGATAAAACCACACTCTCTGTGCATGGGTTTGCGCGTGTCAGGGTGGAAGGAGTTGAACCTGGAGGGAAATCGAGATGTCAGGCAGGCACTGGGCTTGCCAGCGCCCACACCCAGATGTGAAGCCACCCCAGAGGGGCCATGGGCCACAGCAGCCAGTCTCACCTGAGATAGAAGTGGTGCTTGGAATCTGCCACCTCTACCATTCTAGGACTTGGCTCTTTCATGTCCACCCCTGGTGCTCTGTTCCCCAAGCCTATTGGTCACCCACCTCCTGCATAGTGCTGCCCAAGCACCCATGGATGCTGGGGGCAGCTCCAGGACCTCCCTCTGTTGAGCTACACCTAGCTCCAGGGGACCTTTCCTTATGAATACTGCCTCACCGCGGCCCAGGAGAAGGCCGTTTGTGGACTTGCCCGCCTCTAAGTGCCGTTGGGTCTTCTGGTCACAGTGAGGCAAGGCTGACACAGACCCCCATTCTGGTTCTCAGATACCCCTCTGGTTCACAGGCCCTGTCTGCTCAATCTAAAACTTCACATCTGGGCACAGATGTTGCCTGTGTCCAGCGGCCTAGGAGGCCGAGGTAGGAGGATCCCTAAGCCCGGTGTGACCTTCTAAATCCCTCCAAGACTGGAGGTGTTACACAAATACAAGTGGAGCTCCTAAAATCTGAAACTCAAAACGGCACGACGTCAGGGCTCAGGAGTGCTTAACTTGTGGAGCACTCCAGATTTCTATTTCAAGATTAGCGTGTGCCACCGGAAGTCTGTGCACACGTCCCTCATCTAACACTAGGCAGCTGGAATAGGTCTGGTCCTGAGCACCTTAGAAGAGGCCCAGCGCGCCAGGCTGACTCACTGCCACTGCCACTGTCAACAGGTAGCAGAGGCAGGAGGAGGTGCACAGCTCCCTCCTCATTTCTGAGACCATGGGAGCACTCTGCCCCAGAACAGAAGTGTTCCCCAGTGAGTGTGTCGGGGACACAGCTGAGACCTCAGAGGCTCTCTGCTTTCCTGCAGGCAGAGACTCTGAGAACCACAGTACTAACAGATTCTTCGATCCTTAACTAGCTCACGGGTAAATATGAAGGAAAGCCACGCCCCTTTTCTCAGCAGTACTGGGGTGACTAACTTCCACACGGGAATTCAGCTTGAAATCAGATTTAAACAAGCTCTTGCTCCATGCTTGGTTCACAAGCCTACGATTCTGTGGTCTGCCTAACATCTTTATATACGTGATGGGACCAGAGAGACCATCCCGCCACTCCTGCCTCGGCCACCAGGTTCCGGAAGCCAAGAGGCTACCAGGTTCCTGCTGTACCTTCCTGCTGGTGCCTCTGTTTTGGATCAGCCCAGACTCAGGAGCCTATAGTGGAGGACTTACGAGAAGTTCAACATGGGCTGGCCCACATGGGAGATGTGCACCTCTTCCAGGTACTGGAAGGGCTGCAGGGTCGGAAAGGTCCCAGCTCCGGGAGGGTCAGACAGCCAGGTCCCCAGCATCCAAGACAGCGGCTCCACCACTGGGTTCATCTTGGGAGGCTCTGAGGACAGAAGAACAGCAGAGTGATGTACAAGGTGTGTGATGTACACCTTGCTGGGCTTATAGGGAAAATACACACATTGCCAAGAGCATGGCTCAGACAGGTACAGCTGAGCACCAGCACCAGGGCAGGGCCAGAGGCCCCCCAGGTTCCCAACAAGGGTGGATAGCAGCTCCCACACGGGATCAAGGACCCTGGGCAAGGACCTGGAGATGGAGAACAGGGGTGAGAGGCCGGGCAGGGCCAGGCAAAGAGTACAGGGGTGTGGGGCTGGAAGGTGAGCTGACTAGCTTATGGAGCAGGCTCCAGGTCTTCCCCATTGTGCATCATCAAGCAGCACCTTAGCTGGGCTGAGAGGCTTGGGGGTGGGCAGAGGTGGGGTGGTGGTGGTGGGGACAGAGTGGCTTCGAGTGACCCAAGTCAGCTGGGTGAAGTGCCTCTATGTCCCCTACCTCTCACTGCCTGTTGGGGCTGCCTCCAGTGAGCCAGGACAGTTTTCCCCAGTGTGGACCCTGCCTTCCCAGGACCTGTGCTTGACGGCTGGAACATGACACCAGGAGCAGCAGAAGTGTGGGGGGCTGGGCTGATCCCACCCACTCACAGCCAAGGCAAGCACTCGTGAGGCCCCCAGGCCAGCTCCACCAGGAGCCTTGAGTGGATAAACTCAGGACCCCGGAGGTCAGAGCACAGCGATTGACAGCCTAGACGTGTGACACAGAGTGGCCCTGAGGGTTCTGGCAGGAGCCCCTGGACAATGAGCTGCCATCGTGAATGCCAGAGATACAGACCGAGGACAGGCTGCAGGCCCAGCGCTTCAACCAGCCTCCGAGGCACCTGGGCCTGGTGTTCAGGCCAACAGCTGTGGCTTTGAAGAAGCTCAATCCAGAGTTTCTCAGGCTCAGCACTGAGACGGAATGTCCTCCTCACACCTCAGGCCTTCCAGGCTCTGGCCCATGAGTGCCACACATGGGGTGACCGTCAGAGCCGCTGTCACAGCCCACCCTGCCTCTGCACCAAGCAGGGCCCACTTCACGAGACCCTGTTCTGGACAGGCTGATGTCAAAGCCCTGTCTGTGGCTCTCACCAGCTGACCTGGCCCTGGGCTAGACCAACTCGCAGCCTGGGGTCAGGGGAATGGATGGGGCTGGTCTGTCTGTGAATCTGGCCTGCTGCTCGAGTGGTGATCTGCAGCCTCAACCCCCAACACACCTGAGCCTTCCAGGGAGGGAAGCACAGGTACCCTGCTGTGGCCTTCTGCAGAGGTCAGCATGAGCTAGCAGCAACCATGTCCAGAGTCAGGGCTGGAGCACAGCGTGCCTTCCCTCAGAGGGAAAGTCCTGCACGTTCCTGACTGCTCAGGAAGTACTTGTCCAGCCCTGCTCACACACTTGACCCTGGCACACGAAAGCCAGTCCTGTGGACCAGTGGACCAGCAGACCAGGGCCTGGGATGAGCCACAGCTGCCCCCTGGTGGGGAAATGCTCAGTGGCAGCAACAGAGCTGGATGCTACTCAGGAGGTAGGACTGGGGCCACTGGCCTGGAGGGACTACACCACTCACTAATGGGACATCTGAACCCACGCTTATGGGGGCACAACTCTGCCCTCCCCAGACCCAGAAGCAAGAAACCCACCCAGCTGCCCTCATTTCAGCCCCTCCAGGGAGGGCACACCCACACCTGACCCACCTCTAGCAACAGGGTACCTCTACCAGCAGGCACTGCCGCTGATCCGAGGAGGCCCGAAGGAGGCCTGTTCTTAAAGCCTGGAGGGCAGTCCTCAAAGACAGGGCGAGGGAGACGGAGAGCATGAGATGCACACTGGCTTTTGAAAACAGAGAGTGGGCAGGCGGCTGGGGAGCAGCCCTTGTGGCCCTCCAGGCCGCCAAGAAGAGAGGCCAGGGAGGCTCCATACCTGCTGAGGTGCAAGGCAAGCCACTGGCCACAGACACAGAGCTGTCCTGGGCCCTTGGAGCAATGGGTGTGCCACCCCTGGTTTGTCTATTCACGTTCTGAGACGGGGTCTTGCTAAGTTTCCCCAGTTGGCCTCAGCCTCCAGAATCACTACAGGTGTACACGCCGAATCTGGCTCACAGTGAAGAAAGACCATTCACCCTAAGTGCAAGAACTCAGGGAAGAAAACTCAGGCAAGCCACAGGCTAGGAGAAGACAGGGAAGGAGGAGGAAAACCAACATGGAACACCACCTATGCGGGCCACGGGACAGCACCCAGGAGAATTCAGACACAGAAGGCAAACTGGCCCACAGTGGAGTGCAGAGCAGCGACCCTGCTCTTAGGCACAGGACAGAAGAACAAGAACCACATTTCCTCACCACAGCCAGGAGCAAGTGCTCATCACAGCACAGGCAACTGTCTTCTTGCCTGAGGTGAGTGGACACGGTGTGCAGACCACACAGCCAGGCCACAGCAAGGAATAAGATGTTGGGCAAGCAACCAGACCGAGCACACTCTGCACTGGCCGAGCTACACTGTAGGGGCATGGTGGGGCTTCTCCTCACAGAAGACCCAAGGTGGACCCAGCCATGCTGAGAGGCAGAGGCCACAGACCTAATGGTCCAACAGGGTGGCAGATGCCACGCACGGGCACCAGAAAGGTGTGGTCTACTGAGACATGCTCAATCCAAGACACATACTGGTGCGGGACAAGAGCCAGAAGAAGAGCCCCGCACCCAGGGCCTGGACCACTGACAGTCACCTATGGAAGATAGGGCTTATAGCAGACAGCTGAAATCAGTCTCCCATCTCTGCTAAAGGACCACTGGGCATCCAGGGCGTCCAGGGCCCAAGGGCCCAGTAACCAGGTGCCAGTGCCATCCCAGACCGAGGCCAGGTACTGCTCCAATCTTCTGATTTGGGGATAAAATATTTCTAAAGATATTTCCATACTAAAACAGAGTTCCTGCTGTGGTGTGGACCACACACCCTTATCCCCGACTATCCTGTTCATGAGCCCAAGGAGCTGGGTCTCACGACACAGGCAGGTGAGGTGGGCCTGGAGCCCCACAGTCAGGGCCAGTGGTGCCCACTGGCTGCAGTGTGGCCCAATGTCAGATGCTGCCCCTCCCCACCCTCTTCCCTGGTGGGTAAGAAAGCTGGTGGTCACCCCAAATCCCGTGTCCTGACCAGTGGTCCTGAGGATCCAGAGAAGCCTGCACTGCCCAGTCGTGTCTGAGAGGGTGGGCTGAGCCGTGGAGGTGCACAGGCAGTGGGTTCCAGGCAACAGCAGGCCCGCGCCCACCCTCACCCGCCCGTGACTGGGGTGCTGGCCCTGGAGGGAGGCGTTAAGTTACCAGCACTGTTATACATCCAGCTTTTACCTATCCGACCGAGCAAGTGTGACAGATCCCAGAACTTGCCAGGAGACACCTGTGAAAACCTGGCAGCGGCAGCTGGGGAGAACACTCAGTCCGGACGATCTCAGCTGGGATGCTGTGCCTTGTGCCCCTGGAGGCAGACTTGCCTATAACACTCTGGCCTAGAAGGGAAAAGAGCCCAGGAGTTTCTGCTGCAGCCCTCCTAAGTGCTAGGCAAAAGCTCACAAGAGGAGGTACCCTGGGAGTCGGAAGAGATGCAGGGTGGGGGGTAGTGGGCCTGGGAGGGAGGGGAACTGTGTGACACGGCCTGGGGATCTTGGGGGCATGGCGAGGCCTTAGCTGGGCAGGGCTCTCAGAAGCCCATAAGCTGTTTAGTGCCCAGCCAATCTACGGGGCTGGTGGAGTGAGGCAGGGCAGTGTCCTGCCCCCTGGGTGAGAGCAGGGTTGCACTCTGTCCCTTCTGAGCTCTGTGACATTGGGTGGCCAGGTCTGAATGAGACCTTCTCAGATAGGAGCTGTGCCTCCGGGCTCAGGTGGGGAGAAAACTGGAGGGGAGAGGTGGGACGCTGCAGGTTAGAAGCCTAGGGCCAGCAGGACAGAATCACCAGAGCAAGGGGACACTTCTACTGCGCCGTGATTAGGGAGGCTCCCAGAGGCAGGCAGTGGGAATGTGACAGTGGCTGCCTGCACAGGACTAGCAGCAGGAACAGGTGGGCCAGCTCAGGGGAGACACAGAGCAAGGTGCATATAGGGGCACTGGCTGGAGACCCCTGGCTGGAGCCCCTGGACGTGGCCGATGGACAAGGCAGGCAGGTAAGGCTGAAGTCCAGAAAGCACAGGCGCTGCTCAGGGCCCTGAGGGTCGCAGTAGGACACTGCAGACCACGCCTCACCTTCATTGCCCTCCCAGCCTCTGCTCGTAATGGCCTTGATGTGGACACCCATAGAAGGCTGGGCGGGGACAGTCACACCTTGCCAGACAGTGCCCTGGACACCTGGGGCCTGGGTCCTTGGTCCCCTACCCACCCCTCACTTCCTGTGTCCTGGCCACTGCCTCTCGGCCTTGCTCTCAATGAAGCCTGGGGTTGGTGGAGAGGACACTGGAGCCTGAAACTGTCAAACTGTATGCTCAAGAGTTGTGAGCACGATCAGACTTCGTCAGGAAAATAAAGTTTAAAATGAAACAAAAGTTGGGGCTGAGGTTGTAGTTCAGTGGAAAAGTGCTTGCCTCGCATGTGTGAGGCACTGGGTTCAATCCTCAACACCACATAAAAATAAATAAAGATACTCTGTGTTCATCTACAACTAAATAGATATTTTTTAAAAAATGAAACAAAAGCATAATGAATGAGACCATACGGATTTGCAACTTTCAACTCCTCAAATAAATCAGGCAGGCTTTTCTATGCATATTTTTCTGATCTCATTTTTCTTTTATTAAAATCTAACCAAAATGCAAAAATAAAAATTTTAAATTTTGTACAAGAAATTTAAACTTTCATTTCCTAGCCTGAGACATTGAAAGCAGGCTTACCCATTCCCAAGTTTTTAGAACTCCAGCACACCAGCAAGGTTCCTCAAGGTTGTTTTCTGCCAACTACCAGGAAATGTCTGCACCTGGCTGTGGAGGCGCTGCGGGAAGTGGGTGCTAGGTCCAGGAGCATTCT